TTTAGGCGGGGTTGCGGCAGATAAAATAAAAAGTCAGTTTTTGAATTTAGACGGAAGAGTTAATTGGCCTTGGGTTAAGGTTGTAATTACTCTTGGAGTAAGCGAATTGCGATCCGCTAAACTCGTACTTGTTGTAAGTATAGAACGAAAGGTCGGTGACCTAACTTACGCTTATAAGGGCAAACCCCGCTGCAGCTTTGGATGCCTCAAGCCAGACGGTTATATTGTAGACAATATGAGAGCTCTCAAAAATTAGCTTGTGTCAGTATAGGAAGAGCGTCGAGACTCAATCTAAAAGTCGACGAGCCGTCACAGTTAAAAAAGCTTTAACCAATCCTGTGGTGCAGTGGAATGCTGTTCACTTCAGAACCGAGAGGTCCAGGGTTCAATCCCCGGGCGGGATAGAGCGGGATTAGAGTGTAATGAATAAAATCCTACAGCACGCGCTTGACATGGCTGACACGACTCCTATAAAGGGGTGATGTTCTAAGAAAATCACAGTTCAAAAGGCTTCCTAGACTCATTCAGATTAGGTTGGCCTCCTCGACTCTGCTCAATAAGATAAAAATGCTTAGTTCCATGTTGAACGCATAGTAGACCGATGCGTTTTTTAAGGAAGCGAACCGGATAAGTGGAGGGTCACCCTCTACAACGGGAGCTATTTCCCCTTACACCAGAAAGATTTGTCTGACGATTCTACGCTAAGAACCACAATGATAATCTTTTCGTACGCACCACTCCCGATATATTAAAGTCTAGCTCTATTTGGTAGTAAATAAATCTATCACTGTGTGATGTATATGGTGGGTATAGCAGCCTATATGTTCTACAAACCACTTATTTACGGATCCCCATTAGCCCCATCACTGCACGAATGAGCGTTGATATGAGGTATGTCGGAGGAAACTCTTATGTAGGGATGTTTTTATTGGAGAAAACATGATGATCTGTGGTACAAAGATATATAGTAATCAAGCAGTTTCCTCGCTTTCAATGTTACATCCAAAACTGGAGCAGCCGCGCAGGGGCCTGAATGCTATTTAAATTCGGTTAACTGGTTGTGTTTACATTGATTGTGAAAATTATGTAGTTTGGAAGCCAGTATTATCATAATTGTCGGCGGTCACTGGATCTAACTCTAGAAAAATCTGCATGACGCTATGCGGCGACAAATAGTAGGAGGTACAGCATACCCAAAAAGTAAGATATTTAATATATTCGACGCTTATGTTGCTGTATGACCTTATCAATACCTTCAATTTTGCGTTATCGTAATCGTGCGCGGTGGCTATTGATGCAGGTGCTACCAATTGCAACCGGATTGCCCGTGTACCTTGCACAGATGAAACTTTGACTCACGAATCTACGTAATTGCCTGGTGCAACTACAGCTTTGTTTGATATAACAAAGAAATTCCACATACTTAGAATTAAGTCTAGCTTTAATCATAATAAATATACCGTTATTTGGCGATCAAAATATGCCCGACGTCTTCACAACGTGATTTTAGTAGCTGTGCGTGGGCAGCGAATCTCCAAAACGTTATTACACTACCACTATTTATACCGATTTCCAGTCATGATATATTTTCTCAAGGTACTTGCTTTGGTGCTTTTTTTGAGTTTTCCTCTGTGTCTGAGAACTTCATAAAAGAGCACGTACCCGCTGCACTCCGACTCCGAGATCTCATGAATGTTTGGAGACCCTTTCTGCAAGGTTACCCAGAGATCTTTTGCGATGACGACTTGGCATTTAATCTTGGCGTTATATTGTCAGGGTACGAAACAGGGTCGCGCGACCCTGTCTCACAGATTGTGGTGCACGCGCTGTCTTGTTCCGCGCTTAAAACTAGCTAGTAGCTATTCTAGTAGGCCAATAAAAATATGTAGAGGTTTCGAGAGCACCAACCAGAAGTGAGAGCGAGTGCCTGCCTCGGCGTCAACCAAGGGTTTAAAGCTTTGCACAGTACAACATTGATCGACGTTTTATTCTGACGTCTATCAACTCTGGTTTGTTTTTAAAGAAGCGAAATGGGTAATGCGATGTGTCCCTTTACCTAGCGCTAAAATCTCTATGAAAAAAACAAATATTCACTCTCTAAAATTCTTGTCAGGGCATATAACCATCAGTACATTTAACATGGATGGCACTGATCTCCCTACCTCGTGTTAATCGAGCGTGACCTCTCCAAGAATTGGCTTTTACAACCACACCCTTCATTTTCGCACACATATCGCACTCCTAGTTCAGGTTTTTTAAACGGGTAGTGCTTCGTCCCATCACCGAGGGGTGCACGTCGATACCAGACGGAGTTGGTGTGAAACGTTGAGTTTGGTTGTCCGCAAGCACATGTTTGACAGCGCCTTTCAATGATGTTGCTTTAGACAAAACCACGTCCTGATGATAAAAACTGTATTTGCGGAAATCGTGCGCCGCGCCGTGAAGGATCTCTTAGGCAGAGGCTTCCATCCCATTCGGGGAGCATCGCCCCCCTCAACTTTTCTTTGATAATTCAGTAAAGACCCAGGTGTAATGTCAGGACTTGGGTATACTCTTTGACAAAACAGCACATTGCTTTACACCTAAGAAGTCCTTTATAGCGTTGCTTATAAGGGCTCGCTGAGCCAGATGCTTAACATAGCATTAATAGCTTCGGCGCAATGGGTACGTGCAAAGAGCCAAGTATGAGCGTACTGGTATAGTAAACGACAAAATGATGTTGACGTCTACTGAATTTCCATTTCGTTTGAAGAGAATGCAGCAATGCACGTACCCTATCATGGTATGCGTACACTTTACACTGTTGTGAAGCTCAGATGCAGCGGGGCTGCCGTAGCTCATTCGCTTAAAGGAAGCTTGGTATCGGTTACCTTCGTTCTTTACTTAAATCCAGTCCGAGTGTAGCGGATCGCAATCCGCTACCTCCAAGTTCTAAACCCTTAACCAAGGCAAACGAATACTTCTGTCCAAAATTGAAACTGGATTCAATTATTTTCGTTGCGGCAGGGCTGCCAATGTCTAAAATCTAGGCTTTCCTAGTTAGTAAAGTGATACCTCATTAATATAGATTTATCTAATTGATATAGTGAAACCTAATTAATTTAGCAATATACATCAATACTGGCAATTCTACCACGTGGTGGCTTCTCGTTACGGTGTATCCACACTATGTGTGTTTACACTAAATTGATCAATCCACACCTATGTACGGTCGCACTTTTCATACAACGATACGTGTAACCCCGTTACACTCTCTCCAATTAAAATTGTGAATATCCACAGTTCGCATTTAACTGTCGCCTCATACGAGGCTCGCCTGTCTCAGACACCTTCACGTTCTTTTAAGAGCAACTTTATACATTCTCCGCTCTATGATCCCTGTGTCTACGACACGCAAACACCCAACCTAGCTGGTAGCGAGAGCGTTCGCGGGCAAAGCCCCTATTCTTCTGCACAGGGTGCATCTCGAGACAGTACGCTCGCAGCTTCACGGGAAGCACATCCCAAGCCCCCGGCAACTCAGCGCAACACACCGCGCCCACCCTGGGCAACGGATCGCCTCGTCGAGGAATTAGAGGAAGTCGACTACGAGTCGGAAACTCCTTTCCCAGCATGGTAAGACGTGGAGGATGAAGTGCGCCAACGGCGCGACGTGAGCCCAGCTCAAACGTTGCGGACACTATGTCCGTTCACTGGCCCCTGGGCATCCACAGGAAGTGATAGTGTAACCAATCGCCCTGACGAGGCACAGGAACAGTGATCCGAGGCTGTTCTTATGGCAGCTCTCCTGCGCACGTATCCACTTTCGGTCTTCGACCTTGGTGTAGAATACGGCTTTTGCTCGGCGGATCGCGCTACTAAAGCGAAAGACGCGTTCACTCGATCGTAAGGCGTCTGCTTAGTTGGTCCCCGGCCACCACACAACCTGATCTTGATCAGCGGAATTCTCTGCGAGCTCGCTTTTTGGTACCACAAGATTTTCAAATAGATCGGTACCGCACTCGACTTCGAGCTCGAAAAAGAGGCGCTCCTGTACCCGCAATGTGGACCATCCCTGAGGTTCTCACCCCTTACGATACCCCTGCAGATGACGACAAGCTGTTTGAGTGGTGGGTGCAGCGGCACCGAAAACGTTTCTTTGCTGTCTACCTTACCGCGAAGACACAAGGAAGTTGACATGCGCGCTGAGCACCATCTTCGATTTGAGCTCGCCAAACTCATGGTGTAATGCCGAATTCCTGCGTATTGACGCCCTACGACATATGGAACAATCCATAACGCTCTCGCGAGCTCTGTGGTTTCTCACGCTGGTGAGTCTAAGACCACAGCAGCTCAGGGCACTAGCTTGAGCTCATCTCATGACCCTCCGACTTCCCGGGCTACCGCCGAAAAGCGCGGTATGCACGATGATGCAAAGAGTCATGATCCTTATGATCATAAGTGTCTATGACGTCTGAGCAGTCTTGCCATAGCGGCACCGCAAACTCCCGCGAGTTCTATTAGTTTGGGTATCCCCGCCACTTCACAAGATGTTGGGTTGAATCCCGTCGACGATGTCGACCCACAAGGCGTTACACGTAGTAGTAGACGCCGCCATTCTCATCGAGAAATGACGGCGGTGGGCGATGACGACTTGGTCGATCGTCGTCCGGTGACTCGCGATGATCTTGGAGCATTGGAGGCCATGGTCTTTTGTCATCGGCATTCTGCCGAGCATCTCTCGTTTACCGCCCTCGAGAGCTTGGAGCACTTTGTGCTCCGACTGAGTCATGCAAAGACTATCGTGCTCTGTCGGAGCGGTCCTAGCCGTCGAGCAGACGAATACGTCGCTTTATGCGATAGTGGAGCGCCTTTCGCCGTTGGAAATATAATTTGTTGCACTCCGTGCTCAAAACTAGTTGCTGGCTTAACTTCTAGGTAGTCAAGTACCTTTGA